GAGGGCGATGGGCTTACTCGAAGACTTTTACCACGACATTACGAACGCGGATCGCAAAGGGTCTGTTTGAGCTGTGTCATGGCGTACTTACCCGGTGCATGCTGCTCGTAGTCAAAAGCGCGCGTCGAAGCGAATCTACAAGCGCCCTCAAGTCAAGCTTGCCGCATTGGGCGGCAGTGTGCCTCGTCCGCAGACAAGAAGTCAAGAGCCCCATGAAAAGCTCAGTCACATGCGTCTTCTCACTGCAATTCCAAAAGCACGAGGCAATCAAGACGATGACCGAGCTGTGCAGTTCAAAGTGGCGTGGAGGTACGCAGTCGTATATGTTTGTTTTATTGACGTCGCCACAGAGAGGTCTTGGGGACGCGCGACGCTCGAGTTATTGTCCCGGCGCCAACCCTGGCCTCAAAAAAGCCAAGCGCACCAGGTCTGAGCCTTGAAGGGACATCCAACTTTTTCCCGTTGCAATTGTTGCACCGACCTCAGATCCACATTTCCAAGTGGACACTCTTGGCAACGGACGACACCTTTGTCAAGATTGCAGCACACAATACTCGCATACGAAATTTGCGCGCTAGTGCGTATTAGCACTACGAATGGTCGATAGAAACTCACGTCGCATAGGAAGCGCACTTCGTCCCGAATCCTTTCAAAACAACGAGGACACCACTAGCATAATTGCCAACGGCATGGAAGCCTTGACCGACATTGGCATCTTTGCCATTGCAGAAGCCGTGCGCCGCCTCGAGTGCCTTGAAATTGCGAATGCGATCAAGGTCATACCAGCGCCACGGATTTGGATTGCTCACTGGAGATGTGTAGGTGTCGGACGCAGGTATGCGCACGCTCGCGCTACACTGCTCTACCCTGAGAACACTCAACATCTCTGGCTGCACGGGCGTTGCCGGAGCTGGTCTTGGAGCCATTAGTGACCACTGCACAAACATGCGCCGTAAGCACCATACGTGCTGCCGGAAATGGTTCTTCTCACGCAACATTAGGCTTGTCCATTGCGAACTGCAGCCACCTTGATGAGTGGGTTCTCGTGCGGCTGTTCTACAACTTTCAGCACCTGGAGCACTTGGACGTGGCAGGTTGCGCACAAGTACGAATGCCCACAAGATATGACCTCGTCGATCTTCGTTGGGGTATAGGTTGCTGACACGACACTCAAAACGCTTGGCTTCCAGTGCCGACAACTTACGTTCCTAAACATTTCGTTCTGCTCTCAAGTACGACTGCAAACATTCTCCTTATGGTCGAGTATGCCTACATCCTGCTTTAGGTATCCGACACGGGCGTCGTTAGCGTTGCTCAGTATTGCACGCGCCTTGAAACGCTGCTTGTTGCGACGCAAAAAGGTCGCGTCAACGAGCGCGTTACCGATATTTCATGTCTCTCGCTCGGCGAGCACTGCCCCAAGCTGCGGGTCTACCCTAACATCTTCGAACGTCATCTTACGTACTCTAGGTTCTTAACGTCTCAGGATGCACATTTGTGTCAGACGTTGGTATTGCATGGCTCGTGCAAGGGTGCTCGCACCTTGAGTCGCTAGACCTCACGTACTGCTTCAAGCTCACGGACGAAGGTCTTCGAAGCATTGGAGCCAACGCACCCAGTCTCCATACGCTCCGCATCGGTCACGCCAAGAACGTTTCGGACGTCGGCCTTCGATTCGTCTCAGAAGGATGCCCACATTTGAAAGTCTTGAGTCTGCGCCAGTTGTACCTGATTTCGGATGGTGTCATGCGAAATTTTGGTCTTGAGGGTCTTCAGGCCGTCGCCGCCACATGCCCGCGTACGTATTGCACAAACTTTCATCATCATCTTATTTCCATGCCTATATTCTTGTAGAGTTGTCAGAGCTCGATCTTGCTGGATGCTTTCAAGTCGTCGAGGTAGGCTAAACGCATACATGTTACATTATCTGAACGAAGAATTGTGCTACTAGCGAGCACTCAAGAGCCTGGGCGCTGGGTGCCGCGAGCTTGTGAAAGTCAGCTTAAAAGGCTGCTACAACACAACACCATGCGGTATTAGCCACCTGCTCCACGGCTGCCCGAAGCTCGAGACTCTCGACCTGTCAAACGTCGCACTGACAAGCAACCTTGTGCTTCACGACATTGCTACGTCGTCGTCGCATCTAAAAGAGCTCACGCTAGCCTCTTGCGACCGCATCACAGACCTCGGTATCCGGCATCTCGCACGCCTCTCGGATCAGCTCGTGGTGCTCAACCTCAGCGGTATTTTTGCCAAACAATGTTCCATTCGATGAGAGTATTGGCGTGCGTAGGATGCTCCCATGTTACGGACGTCGGCTTGCTTGCGTTTATTCAATCTTTTCGGAACCCAACGCCTGCTCTTTCACATTTGATCCTCAATGGGTGTTCGCTCGTCACCGATGAGTTCGTGAACCAGTTGGCGTTTGCCTGCTCTACCCTACTCACGCTGAGTTTACACGTGCGAGCTCGCCAGTTTTTTGTTGCAAAGTTCATTGTCATGTCAATAAATAGGGTTGCGGTATGTCGTCGCGTGCGCTTTTTGCACTCAAGACGTCGTGGCCATATACCGTGTTTCGGTCGACATCGTCCGAGCTTGGTGTCTTTCCCGCACACCGCGCCAAAGAGCGCCGAGAGATTGATGTCGCGGGCCAGCTCATCTTGGCAGCTATCAAAATCCAAGTACCAACGCCGCGACTATATTTTTCCCATTTCCAAGAATTGTTTTGATAGAACACATTTCGGCAGCGGCAGTCGCGCATGGCGTTTGCGGCTGCCCAAGAGGCGCACAAGCAGCACGTGGTTGTGTGCCGTATTCAAAGCTTATTTCGCGGTCGGCGTGGGCGTCGCAAGGCGCTCTTGGAAAAACTTCTTCAAAGCGGCGATCACCGCATGGCCACGAAGATTCAGGTAAATCTGTGCTGATAGTATAAAGTCGTCCATGAAGAGAAATAGCGCTGCTTCCGAGCCTGTCGCAATAAGAAACACGCACAGGACGAGTATGATGCACTACTGGAGAAGCGCTGCATTGAAGCGGCCATCTTCGTGCAGCGCCAGTACGCAAAGCTCGCATTTCATTCATCGCTATTGAGGGTGACAATATTTCTAGATTTCGAGCAACACGGCGCTCGCGTATTGCAAAAATTGCTCTAGCAGCCCATGTTCGGTCGAGCAAAAAGCAGCACCGCGCTGCCGTGGTCATGCAGCGCCGATGGCGGGGCATCACCGGCCGGCGACGCTACATGCTTGCCCATGCGGCCAAGAAGGCGCAGGACGCCGCTCAGGAAGAGTCGGCCACGCAGCTGCAGGTAACATCTTACCTCTTTAGCATAAAACGAGGCATTACCTGACGCTGTCATATAGGCACTGCTGCGGGGCCGACGCGCCCGTCAGGAGGCGGCGCGCCGACGGCAACACGATCTGATGCGCTCGTCTGAAGAGCAGGCTGCTGCGATCACACTGCAGTCTCAGTACCGCCAGCGCCTCGCTCGGCGTCAGCTTGCTGCGCGCCGAGAGCATTTGGCGCTTTTCCACCATAGTGCCATGAAGATGCAATCGGTGTGGCGTGCTCGTCAAGGACGTAATTTTCTGGGCGTTCTTCGCATGGTGCGAAAAAAAAAATGCAGGCGTTTGTTGCATGGCGGCCTCACACAGAATTGATGAGTAGGCCCAGCGCCGTCGAGACGAAGACGCGGCCGCTACATACATTCAAAGACAATGGCGGGACCGCAAGACCTTTTTGCAGCGCGTTTGGGAGCTCGAGCTTCGCCGTCAGCTACATACGCAACAAGGCACAGCGGCGAAGCGCCTTAGCTTGTGGTGGACCCACGTGCTTGAGCGGCGGGTAGCGCGGGTGCAGCTGAATGCGCTCCTCGCTCTGAAGCAACGCGACGAAGCCATGCTTTTTTGGGCGGCGCAGGTTGTGCAGTGCCACTACCGGCGCCACCAAGCGCGCAAGACTCTTGAAGCGCTCAAGGAAGCGCGCCGCACCGCGTGGAAGCATATGATTGACATTGACAACTCGCTCGAGAAAGGCGCCGGGGCTCCATACTACTACGTGCGGACACTAGCAAAATGATTTCTAGGATGCGATTGGTGTGTTGTAGAACCAGCTCAACTATGATGTGCGATGGCGCATGCCGGGCGAGCTTTTGACCGAGCTGCCACAGCCCAAGTGCGATCAATGCGGTACGGCGTGTGCTCTTGTCCAACACAAGTGCCAATGATACCTCGATATATAGAAAACGCATCGAGTGCCGAGGTTGAGTGCGCCCACTGCGGCGAATATTTTTGCCTGCCGGTACTGCACGTCGCTGAGCCGTGCGACCCTGAATCCATTCGTTTCTAGTGCTCGGACCGGATCCATGGACATGGGAAACGCCACGCGCACATGATGCGTAAGCTGTACAACTACTATCACCAACGCATCGACTATGGCGACGGCGATTTTCCGTCGTGGTGGCCGTCCGAGTGTGAGCAGGACGCATGGCGTCCGTGGGATTTCATCATGGGCGTGCCGCTGGACGGCTACGATGCACTCGTGCAATGGATAGAAGCCGAAAACTACCGACTCTTCCTCTTGCGCAACCCGTTGCTGGCAAGCGCCGAGGCCAGTTCCAAACTGCCGGCTGTCGACGATGCGCCCAAGGACGTTGAGCCGATGCAGGCGCCTATGACTGTCCGCGCAGTCAACGAAGACTCGCGAGGCAATCGAATTGTGTTTGCGCCCATCGGAAGCGAGACCGCCACGCCCGTTGACGCCGCGCCTGTCACCGCACCTGCCGACTTTGACGCTAGCTACGGCACCAAGTCCAAGCGTCGGAAGCGCCGGAAGCCGCTCGTCGCGCGCCAAAAGCAAATCTTAAACATGGAGTGAGGAGCGAATTACTACTACATGCATACTCATTTCACAACAACTCGCATTTCAAAACAAATGTGTTCAAATCAGGTGTATTGCTCGTGCCGATACTGAACACGTTGAAGAGTACAAAATGCGACGCCAAGTCAGTGTTTATGGTCTAAGGTGAGAGAAGCATCATGTGACGTCGTCGAATCCTCCGAGCACTTGTACGCGCGACCTTTCTTATGACGAGCTTGCAAGTTGCAGCTCGATTGTAAAGAGCTCGCTTGATCGATTTGCTGCGCACGAGAGTGAAAATGCATGCAACAGTGGTTTCACTGGCGTTTTGTAAAGCCGAGAGTCGAAACATGGCGGCAAGACTCGTTCTGTACCGTGGAAAGGTACCTGACGCGATTCGTGCCAAGATTGACGACACGATCGGGCGCACCATGTATCTCGTTCAAACAACAGGCCCGACCAACTATGTCGTTCGTCACCTCAAGAAGTTACATAGCGTCATTCTCGTCTCGTAGATCCAGGAGCAAAATAGCTCCACTAAGTACCGCGTGCTCATCGGTGCAGTTCAGTCGTGCACGTGCGGCGACAAAGATGTGTGTTGTCACCTTCTCTTTGTTATGTTGAAGATACTGCGCGTGCCACGGACCAACCCCGTCGTGTGGCAAAAGTCGCTCATTGATTCAGAGGTACCGTGCGTACGAATCGTAGGTGCCTGCGAGGATTAACGTGAACGAATCGTAGATTACAACGCTCCTCAGCGGTGGGTACAGTGAAGAAACGAATGCGCGCGCGAAACCTGCTTTCTTGCGCCGAAAGTTGGCCCCCGAGACACCCGAAGTCGACGAGACGACAAAAAAACAAGTCGCGACCCGCCATGCGCTTGTTGAGGGTGAAGTGTGTGCGATTTGCCAAGAAGAAATGGTCGAGAGCGAGAAAAACCTCACGTACTGCAAGCACGGCTGTGGCAACAACTTCCACATCGACTGCAGTACGCGCCTCTATCTCTCTATGGCGAGACAACATAGATAGGCTCACATTCCTTCAGTGAAGGTGTTTGGGGAGAGCCGGAAACAATCGAAAGAGCCGATTAGCTGTCCACTGTGCCGCCACGACTGGGGGGACTCGGCACTCACGGAGCTCAAGAAGGAAGCCGACATATCGAACCGCAACCCACTCGTGCACACTGGCACGACGTGCAAACAGTGCCAGACCAAGCCAATTCGCTGCAACCGATACCGCTGTCTCCAGTGCAAGCACACGGACCTCTGCGAGCGTTGCTTTAGTATGATTCAAGACGTATTTGACGTACGAGACGCCATTCATACCCTTGTAGAGAGCAATGCCCATGCCAAGCACTCGTTTGTGCTACGCAAAACGCACAAAGGCACGTGGTTTCCAGCGCTGCGGTCACTCCGTGACGCTCTACTAAGTCCTCAAGCGATAAACGACCTTGAGGGCCGAGAGCTTTCGCACGCCGACTATGACCTTCTCTGCGAAGTCTCTTTTTGAGAACCTCGTCGTGTCGTCTATAGTTTTCCCATCTCGTAGCTTGATGCAGCCGAAAAGTACCCACTACAAGACTATCTCATGGCCAATCTGGTCGGCGACAAGGTGCGCGCTGCTCGATTGTTTGGTTGCCTCAACCGACTTAGCTCGGTGCTGCACAAGCGAAAGCGTGGACACCTGCGAGTCCCGACGTGAGCAACTGGTGTATACTGTGTACGCAAGGCCTGCGGATGTCGATGGACATACGCCAACTACCGTGTCATGTATTCGACTTTGTCTTGACAATGTATCTTTCTCAATCTCTGTAGCACACGTTCCATGAGAGCTGCTTGCTGCAGCATGTCCTAGCTCAAAAATACCACTGTCCGATCGAGCACTGCCCCCATGTGCTTTTTCCAGGCCTAGTCAACGAGGCAGGTGCCTTGGCGAAGAAAGAGCGCAAAACCGAGCCAGCAGCATCCTCGGTACCTCTCTCGTTCGAATCCTTTTCTCAGTAGCGCGTAGACTGCGTTGCCACCAATTGGACTCATGTCGGTCGTGTCGCTGATGAAAAAGCCGAACGGCGCGATCGAACCACTCACTGGCGTAGTACGCTACAAGTCGCAGCAGCCTCTTACAGTGCTGGTACCGTTTAGATTCGAAGGCCGGCGGAGCCACAAAGTACTGACCGTGCGCGCAAGCACAAGCCCCATCCGCTCAAGCCACTTTCAACAAGCAACCAACAAGAGAACGACCTTGCGGGCATCGTGACGGCAAGCGCCTGTCACGCACCCACACAACCCGGAACGCCGCCTGGTCATCGGCTGAAAAAGACGACGCGTGTGCTACCTCACATGGCCAGCGCCTTTAAAGGAGCGATCGTCACCAGCGACAACCGTGTCGAGGACGATGCGTCCTCCTCGCGCCTCCGCTTGCCTGCACTCGGATCGATGGAGCTATCACTCTCACCCACTGCAGCGCGTCTCGCTCAAGCCCAAGTGACGCGGGACTTGAACCGAGCGCAATCCCAGGATCGCAAGCGTCGACAAAAGGTCGCCCTGGTGGAGCGTAAGCTGCAGCACGCACCTGGCTTGTCGTCGCTGCTGCCCTTGCAGCTGGGGCCGCTGGCGACAACCATCGATGAGCCGAGCCGCCAAGAGCGCATCGCCCAGGCCAAACTCGAGAAGCAGATCAAAGTCAAGGCCGAGCGCGAGCGCAAGCATGAGCTCGCCAAATCCCGCCGCCAAGAACAAGTCGATCACGAAGGGTGTCCGCTATCACTATTGGGCTAAAAGAAGCCAATCGCTGAGTTGAATTTTGTCTACATTTTAGCCAATCAACAACAACTCGTGCCCGGATCCTGCCCAGCGATCCAGCGAGCTCCGTGGCCGCGTCAATCGTTCCGTGTACACGCGATGGGGACGGACGGAAATGGGTCTTCTTCTCGAGAGGTGCATCGTTGTGACAGATCGCTGCGGGGAGGGGACGGCGTCGCAGGTGGTGGACGAGATGTGATTGGTGGAATTTTGTGTAATAATCGTTGCGCAATCCAATCGCGACCAGATTCGCGTTGCATTTTGCCCAATCCATGGCAGTGACGGGGGAAGAAGCGATGGCGTACGTACGCGAAGGCGGCGCCCACAAGAACGATGATATCTGGCGCTTCTTCACCAAGCTCGTGAACCGCGAGAAGTACCACAGCTACTGGTACGTCGAGTGCAAGGCCTGCCGGGCCGCCCACCAGACGCAGCTTGAGACCGGCGTCCACGGTGCGCTGGGCGCGCCAGAGCCCAAGGCCATCGTGTCCCGCCTCCAGCTCATGCGCAACCACCTCGGCAAGTGCCCGTACGTCGAAAATGTCCCGAAGGATTACCTTACGCCTACGCCGCGCCCGGCCAAGCATCCACGGACGAAGGCCAGAGCCATGGTCCCCGGCGCCACGAGCGAGCCGGACGGGTCCGTCGCGCCGACCTCGTGGCTGCGTAACCTCTACCGCGCGCACCAGCCACAGGCAGGCTTCTGGGGCGATGCGCGTTGGTACGACCTCCAGCTTGTGCGACGGCTGCCCCTTGTGCCCAAGATGCTCGAGCAGATGGTCTATGCGCTTCCACCGCTGGGCGAAACTTCCAAGGTCGCCGACCTCTGTGCCGGCAGCGGCCTCTGCGCCGAGAAGGTGCTCGAAGCGTACCCGGACGCGCAGGTTGTGCTCTTCGACCAGTCGCTCGAGCGCCAGCAGTTGGCGGCGAGGCGCTTGAGCCAGTACCACCGGCACAGCTACTGCACCATCAACTTGAACGAGGTCGCGGTGCTCGAGAAGGGGCCTTTTGACGCCATTACGGCCTCGCTCGCCGTGCACGTGCTCGTCGAGAAGCCGGACCACTACGCGCCGGACCAAAAGGAGCTCGAGTCGATCACGGATGCGCACTTGCGCATTTTCCAGCTCCTCTTCGACTCGCTCGTGCCTGGCGGCCACATTATCATGGGCGACCACGTGGGCATGGCAAGCGTCTTTGTCCAAATGAAGTGGCTCGAGAGCGTCGGGTTTGAAGACATTGACGTGGCGTGGCGTGAGTCCGACTTCTTCGTCGTCGGCGCGCGCCGTCCGGACCTCTCTCCCATGATGCAAGACATCTAGGAGCGCCATGTACGTTCTATTGCGTAATGAATCGTACAATTGGCTACTTGTACACTTGCGCTTACAGCGCCAATACATGCTGCAAGTTCTTCCCTGATCCTGCACCCCATCAGTGTCGCACGCATGATGGAGCACTTGATGCTGATGGTCCTGTTAAGTTAGCTTGCGTACACTTAGCGTTTTAGACGGAGGATCTGGCGCTGGTAGCGGCGAATGTACTTGTACCGAATGAGCGAGAAGAGAATCGCGACAGCAATCATGAGGCCACTCAGCGTCGTGGGCGCTATCAAGTCGACAAACACCATCTCAAAGAGATCCTCCGAGATCGTCGACACGCGGTGCTCGAACGTGCACGCCGCGAACCGGGCGCGGTGGTCGCCGCAGTGCGACATCAAGTTGCACAGCGTGCCTTCGTTCATGTGGCAACTCAGCTGCATCGAGAGGTGCGACGAGTCGCACGTAATGCTACATACAACATGAGTGCCTTCAGAAACAGACGCGCCTACCGCTGGATCAAGCCCGACTGCGTGTCGATCATCGTGATCGGGTCGTATTCTACCGATTACGTCAATCCACGGCAAGATATTTCCAAAGGCAGTCTACCTGGAATCACACACGTCGACAAGTGGTGCAGGCGCCTGCGGTCCACGATCGAGTTTTCGCCCGCAATGTCGTGCACGAGCTTGCTGTACGTTTGCACCGAGCCTGCAAAATCCGTTATAAGACGCTGGATGCATCAAGAGTGGGCAGAACGGACCTGGTGGCGAGAACGAGACGGATGGCTTCCCCAAGATCGAGCCCACAACGCTAATACATCGACGAGCGTCAGACCCGAGTGTAGCATCATCACAAATCGTACCGAGCGATGCCGCCACCGAGCGAGTGGCCCGTCAAGATGACGTTGCGATCCGTGATGGATTGGACGTAGTGCATGAGCTCGTGGTAGTACCAATACTCGTGGCTGAGCCCGAAGAGTGACATCATTTCGTGGTAGAGTTCAATGAGCGTCGAGAAGGTCACTAACCATGCATGAGATGAAACAAAGGCTTAAACGCAGCGTCGTACCGTCTGGCCACATGCGAATTGTGGGGAAAATGCTCGAAAGAATGGCAAAAATGACCGGCTCGGCAAACATCTTGACATCTTCGATGAGATCTCGGAACCGCCCGACGTCCGTCCCGCGCACCGAAATCACCGAGAGATTGAGTGCTGCCGAGTATGCCTACCACATTACAGGTGAAAACGTCAGGCCAAATCGTCACATCCAAACCTCGAAAAACTCGACTTTGGAGCCTTTTGCCGTGTAATTGTCCGGAATCCGAATGTCAAACATTGGGACACCCTCGGCCGTCTGCGGAAAGACGGCTGCGAGAAAGTCGGGGAGGTCGCTGCCTGTCGGGTTGAAGTACGCGGCTTGGGACATAAGTGCGTAGTCGACGAGGCTAAGATCGTGCCACCGGTTGCCGCAGCTCGCGTAGAACGGGGGCTGCGGCACTATCGGCGGCGCTTCGTCGCGTGCGAGCTCGAGCTTGAGGTTCACGACCTACAGATCAACCTCAGTCACACCCAGATGAAAACAAGGGAATGCTTACGCGTGCGTGCTGGACGTTGATTTCCGTTGGCGTCACGACAAGCGACGCGGCGTCTGGGAACCACTCGGATTGACGCTGGAGAAACGTGAGCGCACCAAAGCCAGAGAGGAAGAGGATGTAGAGCGCGAGGATGCTCGAGCCGGCGAGGAGGAAGCGAAAGGCGACGCGTTGGTACGTGCGCGGTCGAATGTGCTTGACCTGATCTTCGGACGAGAATGAAACGCGGCGACCGGGCGTGCTGCTGTGTGCCGTGTGCTGGAGCCACCGGAGGAGGCTGCCGTAAAGGAAGAGCGCCATGACGACAAAGATGTGCGGGTGGTCGATGCCTGAGACGCGGTACAAGAGGTACGCGGTGCCGGCCGAGATCGGAACGCTAATAAAGACGGACCGCGGGGACGAGAGGCAGAGACCCCGGAGACAAATGAGCGAGAAAACGTAGATGAGCGGAAGGAGGAGGTTGATGATAGTGAGCTCGAGCTGCGCGTGCACAAAGCCCATCTGCGGGTGCACGCACGCGCGAACAAAGACGATGACTTGGCCGAGAATGAACGACAGCTTGATGCGCCCAAAGAATGCGGCGAGGGTCGCATCGTCTGTCGAGGGAAAGGAGAGCGGAAAGCTGTGGCATACGAGCGTGAGGAACCAGAGGATCCAGAGGCAAAGGAGTACAAGGCCCGTCGTCTCCCAGCGCAGCGGCGAGAGGTCGCTGAACGATGTGAATTTGACGTGGAAGTGACGCAAGAGCCACTCGATGGTCCAGAGCACCGTAAGGCCGTTGAGTCCCATGAGTGAGAGCCCGAGGACGCAGACGTTGAGAAGCGACATGTCTAGATCAGCGCGATAAGTAAAACCATGCAGTCCAATCGATGAACATACGCTGGAGGATGACGCGCCAGCGCGGAATGATCTCGAGCACGACCTGCACAAACTGCCACGAGGCAATGATCGTGGTAAGGCGCAGCGACCTCTGGAAGACGGGGTACGCGGGCGTGAGGAACCGAAGATAACTCGTTTTGCAGATCGTCGACTCAATCGGCTGCGATGTGTCGAGGTTGGTGCACACGGACGGCACGACGATGAGGCTAGTGAGTAGCAGCAGAATGGGCAGCGCGCAGAGGAAGACGACGAGTTGCGGCGACGCTTCGTGGCGCATGACGCGGCGGATGTACGGAAAGTCCTCAACCGATTGCCACGTGAGAATCCACGTCGTGCGGCCAATGCTAAGGATGATGCCAATGACCGAGTAATGGACGAAGAGCACCGAGAGCGCTTGGGACCACGGCATGGTCGCGATCGCAATGACGTTTTCGCCGAGAAGCGACCCGACGTTGAAGAGGAAGCCCCAGAGAATTGCCAAGGCCTGGTAGTAGATGCCATGAGCGGTCAACGAGGATGCAAGTGCTGTTGTACCTGCAGCATGATGTAGACAAACGAGTACGTCACGACGGGCGGCAGAAACGAGAGGTGCGCGTAGATCTGTGTGGGCAGATAGACGCCGACGAACTGGAGGTAGCTCTCCATCTTGGCCATGTGCGCCACGATGAGGCGCCGAAGCAGGTCCATCCGAGTCGCGCGGTGGTAGAGGACTTGTGCGATCTCGCCAAAAAAGCACTTTGAGCGCCGAGCCAATCACATGACGTCACACTCGTGTCACTTCGAGCGTCACCACGCTTTTTTCGTTTTGCGTGCCCCTCACCAAGG